ACTAATAATGGCTTGCAACGCTGCCTCCTCCTAAGACAGCTCGTACCGAACATTATCTGTCCCATAATAACGCGCCAGTCGATCCACGTGGACGATCTTAGTAGTAACTCTTGCAACTTTCTGTATCCGGTAGGTTACGTCATTTATTCTTGTCACAATCCGGTACAGTCCTTCCCATTTAGCTTGAAGCTTAGGAGATTTCCCTTTGCTGCGGACTGGATTGTGCAACCACACTAGTAAACCTTCGTCAAACCCCTGGTTGTTCATTTTGCGGTCATACCGGGTTTTCATCTTTTCAGACATTTGCTGGCCCGAGTGTGTGACGTGCTCATAAATGTTATTAATTTTGTTATGCAAGTCATTTAAACATGAAAGTACCTCAATCTATTTTTCTAACTACTATAAATGAAAATAATTATCAAAAAGATTATAATGTCTTTAAATAACACAACATCTGAGGGTTCTGATTCCATATGTACTAAAATAATTAAATATTGTAAGATTGAAATAAGTGAAATATTAGCATTCATGATTAATCTCTCACTAGAGTCAGGGGTTTTTCCTGAAAAATTAAAACTTACTATAGTAAAACCGTTACACAAGAAAGGAGATAAAAGTGATATAACCAACTATCAACCAATTGCACTAGTCCCAGTCCTCTCAAAAATATTCGAAAAGGTTATGCATTACCAACTTACTTCCTTTTTTAGTAAATTTAATATAATAAAACAAAATCAACATGGTTTCCAAAAAAATAAATCCACAGCACATGCTGCATTCACATTTGTAAAGAAAGTATTGCAAAATCTAAATGAAAGAAACTATACAACAGTACTATTTATTGACATGTCTAAAGCCTTCGATCGCGTCTCACATGATCAAATACTGACCAAACTAGAGGCTAATGGAATAAGGGGACCTGCTCTAAGTTGGATAGAAAGTTATTTAAAAAATAGGTACCTGTGTGTAGAAATAACACAGTCAAATTCTAAAAACATAGCTCAGGTGTATAGATCCGAATTCAAAAATAATAATGTTGGTGTTCTCGGACCTTTATGGTTTATTTTATACATAAATGATTTACCTGACATCTCAAACTATAAAACTACTTTATTTGCAGATGACATATCGATGACGATAACGACTAGTAAAAAAAACACTAGATCAACATAAAACGGACATTATAAATACATTTAATTCAGTAAATAAATGGCTTAATAAAAATAATCTACACATTAATTTAAATAAAACAAATATCATTAATTTTAATAACTTAAGCTCTGACATTAATATTGAATATAATGGACAACTTCTGCAGAACGCTACTAGTACGTCATTTTTAGGTTTAATTATAGACTCGAACCTGAATTGAAAAGAACATATACATAAAGTGTGTACCAAAATTAACAGATTTGTGTACGCGTTAAATAAAGTGACAAAAATAGCAAACAAAAATACAGCGGTCACATCGTATTTCGCATATGTAGAATCTGCTATCAGATACGGACTTTTAATGTAGGGTAATGGCACAGACTCTCAAAAACTATTTTTAGCACAAAAACGCTGTATTAGAGATATTAATAACATCCCATCAGACACAACATCATGCAAGCCTTACTTTAAGAGTTTAAACATACTTCCTTTTCTCTGCCTCTATGTATTTGAGGTAGGCAAATTTGTAATGCAAAACAAGCACTTATTCCCACAAACTAAAGATGCAACAAAAATAAATTTACGGAACCCACATAAATTAGTACTTGACACAATTCCAAAAAGTAAGCGCTTTCAAAAAAATAGCTATGCAATGTAGGCCTCTTGTAGGTATGTTATTCCTTATTCCTGCAACACGATATATAACAAAATACCCTCAAATATTAAGCAATTACCTTATAATAAGTTTAAAATGTCACTTCGACGATGGCTAGTAGATAAAGCATTTTATACAGTAAATGAGTTTTTGAATTGTAGTGACTAAGTAGTTTTATCGTTAATTAAAAATCGATGCATTAATTAATTAATTTATATATATGAATTTATTTATTTATAAAGATTGTAAAATGACGTTTTAGGTTTTTTATGTAGATGGAATTTAGTAATTGATTTTATTGTAAAAACTTTTGAAAACAGCTAGTAATAACAGTATAACATCAATAAGAAAACATTTTGTACCTATTTAGTTGCAAATAAAGAATTTGAATTCGAATATTAGGTCTGCAGGCGGCCAAAATTTTCTTCTAAAGTTAGTGTAAAGCTGGTGTCGCTGATGTACTTTCGTGAACAGCGCTTCGATATGACAACAAAAACGGTTGTATATGCTTGTCCTAATCTCGTTGCTGATTTTTCATAACTTTTGCTAGGAACCTTTCCAATATCTGATTAAATCGTTCTACCATTCCATCAGATTGCGGGTGGTAAGAAGTCGTTCTTGTTTTATGAGTACTCGGCATATTTCCTGGAATATTTGAGACTCAAAATTCCTTCCTAGATCGCTGTGAATCTCTAAAGGTACTCCAAAACGAGAGAAGACATCATGAACTAGTTTATCTGCAACAGTTTAAGTTTCTTAATTTGTAATGGCGAAGACTTCTGGCCACTTAGTGAAGTAATCCATCACAATCATGAAATACTTGTTACCATTTTCACTTTCCGGAGACGGGCCCACCAAGTCAAAGGATATTCTCTCCCATAGTGCACCAACATTGTACAACTTCAATGCACCCCTACCACGAGCTTGCGGTCCCTTTACAGCCGCACAACTTGTACATTTGTGACACCAGTCCTCGACATTGTTTCGACAGTGCACCCAGTAAAAACGTTCTCGGAACTTCAGTAGAGTTCGTTTAACTCCTAGATGGCCTCCTGAATAATCATTATGGTGCAGCTGTAGAACATCCGGTACTTTAGCTTTAGGGACAACCATTTGCAAATTAAAGCTGTCTCCCTGAACATTTTCCCATTTACGGCACAGAACTCCACACAGAGCATTAAGCTGATCCATTGAGCCCAATATCTTTTCGTGGTCGAACTCATCGCTGAGATGTAATAAAGCGTATCACGTACGTACGTACGTCACACACGAACGTACGTGATACGACACAAGCAGATTAGGCCGAAATGTAAATTTTGTAGTTCCTCGTTCTAATTGTGCTATTTTAATTAAGTACTAGTGGTGCACATTAAGTTAAATGTTCTAGCTAAAGACTTAAGATATACAAACATTATCCAATTCTACATTGATACTGATTCACTATGCAGCCCGTAGCTCACAGGCTGTGGACTCACAACACTGTAGCTACCCTTCAAGTATTCTACAGGGTACCTTTCAGAGGGCGTGCGCAGAATTGCATCGCTTAATTCTTCCCTCTCTGATCCATCATCAGACAACCAGACTTTTGACCGGTCTCCACCTCTTCGTTGTCGATATACCACGCATTATGTTGATTTGCCGTATATAATGCGTAGAATAAAGGAATAGAATAAGTTGCCAAATTCCGTCTTCCCATAAGATTACATTTTAGGTGTCTTCAAGGAAAGAGAGAATAGGTTTTTGTTAATTCAGTACGCATTACTATCTTCAGCTACATCACCAGTTACCTTATTTTATATTTTTTACTTTAGTTTATTAAAAGTTAATAAATTAAGTTTGATGTTTTTTTTAAATATTAAGATATTTACGTATGATGAAGGCGTAACAGTATCCACCCTACCATTTTGTACTGTTGTAAGAGGTGACAATGAGATATGCCAGAAAAATTAATTCATAATTTATACTTCAATGGACATAGTACTACATATTATTGCGTACTTAATTCCATAGGGAATTCTCTCCCAGTCAACTATCAAGACAAACAGAAACAGGTATATAGGATGATATAACTATGTCGATATATATATATATATATTTTTCTCGATTGCCACCCATGGTCACGGGGGGGGGATGAGATGTTTGACGTCCCAATGTCATAGTTAGTCCGGCTACCTACAGTTTTTGAATATTAATTTTTGGTCCGATTTACGCAAAACGAGCTTATAGTATCATGAAGTCTTGCAGTGGTATGCTTGGGTTTGGATTTAATTTTGTTAATTATAGGATCCCAAGCTGCTGGCAGCACCCTATTGAATTCTCTATTGAAATTTGGATGTTTTTTAATTTCAATAGCCTCGCGTATCATCCTTGGTAGGAATTATTTATCAAATCGAATGTAATGGTGGGGACGATCTTGACCATGTTCAAGTCTGCAGTCTGCGAACGTCTAGCATCTACATAAATATTAGAAACCGTCATTGTTGCGAGAGATGACAGCATATCCAGAAATGGCGTATAGCATTATCTGACGCTGCCACTACATTGCAGAAAACAAATGATATAAATTAAATTTCTGTTTTTGTGCAAAATATTAACAAGGAATAAGTTGTTTCTCGTCAGCAACTCAAAGTTAGGAATTTGCATTTAGAAAAAGCCAACATTAGGGGCTTTTTAGGTGTTAATATGTTGCCAAGTTTAAAAATGTGATGACAGTAGATATACGATAAATATTAATACCAAGGAAATAAATACTAATTAAGTGCTGAAAGATTATTGAGTGGATTCTGGGAACTACCGTGTCCAGGACCACCATTAACTTACCATAAGGTACTAACGGCATTTTTTGTTCTTTATAAATGATATATCATAGATAAGATAGGTCGAATCAGTACTAAAACGGAATCAGAACACCCCGACTAAAGGTACTTTTGTCTGCCCTACTCTTAGAGTGTGTTTGTAAAGAATGTCGTACCGTTTTATAGGTAATAATATTTCGTATCGTACGTATATTGTACCGGAATGCTAGCAAAAACCTTTTATAAGACATAGGTATTTCTGTTATAGATTGGAGTGAATTGTATTACATCAAGTGTATAAAGTTACAAATCACACGTGACGTGTGTCATTATTCACTACCTTTGTTCCATTTTATCGTAAATATAAAGTTAATGTCAGGTAGAAAACATTTCCACAGATGATTGTAAATCAATACGGTATTTATATATTAGTATATTTACGGTTACGAGTTCTACCGTGCACTAGTGTTGCAGAAACAGCTCGAAGGATTAATGGTGTGTACGGTGCTGGTGTCACAAAAGAAAGCACGGTACGTTTTTGGTTTCAACGTTTTGTTCTGGAAATTTTGACCTTCAGAACCAACCCCGAGGACGGCCGGAGATGAAAGTGAAAAATGAAGAATTAAGGGCTATTGTGAAATCGGATCCATCACAAAGCACTTTGGGAAACAACACAACACAAAGGGAAAGAAAAAAAAACTTGAACGATGTGTACCGCATGAATTGAGTGAATCGAACTTGCAAACACGCGTCGACTGCTGTGTTACTTTGCTCTACCGACACAAAAATGAGGGGATTTAAAATAGGATCATTACTTGTGATGAAAAGTGGTTACTGTACGATAATCGGAAGCGCTCGTCGTAATTGCTGGACCCTGAAGACCCAGCCAAATCCAGTCATAAACGAAGATTGACTCAGAAAAAGTTACTTGTGAGTGTTTGGTGGACTAGCGCCGGTGTCGTTCACTATGTTAAATCTGGCTAAACTGTGTGGCTTTGTAAAATCTGGCCAAAAGATAACAGCAGATATTTGTTTTCAGCAACTGCAAACCATGAATGAAGAACTAGCTGCTAAAAAACCGAGTTTGATCAATCGCTCTAGGACACTGATGCTTCACGACAACGCAAGACCACACACTGCACAACAAACAACTACTAAGTTACACTGCACATCCACCGTACTTCCCGGACCTTGCTCCAATAGATTACCATTTTATCCGGAATTTGGACTTCTTACAAGTAAAAAAATTCAACTCCGATGCGGCAGCCAAACCGCCTTCAAAGAGTTTAATGATTCTCGCCCCCATGGTTTTTTTTTAGTAAAGGGATTACCTTTACTAAATAAAACATGGGGGCGAGATGAACTACCTATGAGATGGATAAAGTGCATAGATTAAAACGGTGCATACTTTGATTAATTAAATATATTTTACAAAAAAAAATTGACTTTATATTCCTCCCGTACAAAACGCCAATTTATTATGTAAGGACCAATTAGTCACAAATTTTTATTAAAAAATAGAAATATCTAAGTTTTCTTTTGTATAAAGTGTCTCGGAATTATACGGCCAAAACAGAATTGAAAAGTGCAGCAGTCACCCGCAGTAGTGAGAGTTTAATTTTTTTCCTGTGTCCTATAAATTTTTAAAACTTTTAATTTATCATTATTAAATTCCTTTAGTGCAGTGATGATGTAAAAATATCCACTACCATATATCGTCCTATGGCTGTCGTAGAACGAGACAGAGGGAAACTAAAACAGGAGATGGGCAGCAGAATTATCCAGATAACAACTCTGAGTAACTACTAAAAATGGGTTTGCTAACTAGCCTGCTAAGCGTGGCTACTGACAACTATGTCAAAATCTTCTATATCAATAAAAATATACCCTCAAATGTAAAACCTCCTCATTTTTTGAAATAGTTTAAAATAGTTGTTAACTTATATTCCATAAATTTGCAGATGCTTCACTAAGTAATGAAAGTTAAAACATGAGCAAAGTGTGAATGTATATCAAAAGAATTATTTCGATTTTCTAACAAAACGAAATAATTATTATCAAATCTTTATTAAAAATAGTATTTGATTTAAGATTATTTAAGTATAGTAATTTAATTACCGTTCATAATAATACTTTCATATTTTCTTCTACAATGTTAGTAGTAATTAGTGAAGTAATTATTACTAACATTGTAGTAGTAAAAAAATTACTACAACAACTGTAATGTAATGCTTGCATTTCTTTAGCCGGATTAGAGAAGGGAACAAATTGTTTTTGCCCGTATATATATATATATATATATATATATATCGTCGGTCGAAAACAGTAGTGGAACATCTCTGAAAATTTGGTTTTTAACTTTTTTAAGAGTGTTACATTACTATTTCAGTGCCAATTCTATATCAGTATCAGAATAAGTCAAACTCCAGATAGAAGTCGATTAAAAATGAAAGTTCCACTTCTACTCTGTGCATATAGTATTATTCAGTATTGGGACACTTCGAAATGTTCTAAAACGCTTCCAATCTCAAAATCAAAAGTTGAATTTATTCCACCACGCTTCTCGATCTCGCTCGAGTCTCGCGCGCGTTTGTTTAGTTACGCTTACGCGCTGCATGCTGCGCTTGGTAGACATATTGTCAAAAGTAATACAATCTGCAAAAATGTCTGTGTCTAAGTTATATGGAAGATCAATGAAAATATTGCAAATGGTAATCCATGAAGACGCCAATATTGAAAACAAAGGAGTGTATTTGTAACGTTTGTGTATTTTGTAGAATCGTTACTTTTAAAATTTTGCATGCTTTAGCTATATTTTTAACCACTTTTATTCTACAAAAAGTGAGATAAAGCAAGTTGAAGAGTATTCTTTGCCACAAAATGAAGTACAAAGCCTAGGTAAATAACTTATGTATTTTATAAGATATGCTTATTTATTAACTTTTGTGCTTTATATCTAATAAATGTTATTAAAAATTCTGTCCTATTAACAGCTTTTATTGCTTTTAAGATGCTGAACAGACTTTGAACATAGAAAAATCTCCAGACACTATTTTTATATCTAATAATGATGAAGTTGGTGAAATACAGCAATATGTTGAAGAGAATTCTTGGCCCCTGAATGAAGTACATAATCGAAGTACGTACCTATCTTCATGTATTTAAGTACATAATAGAGGTACCTACGTACCTATCTGCATATATTATTTTTGTGTTTTGGTATAGTGTGTATATTTAACTGTTTGAATTTCTTTTAAGGTGTAGAGCAGGTAATAAATATGGAAAGTGTACAGACGATAAGGTTCGTAGCCAGCCAGCATGAGCCAGCAAATGAAGCTTCTAATCTAAGTATGATATTTTATACTATTTTAATAAACTAGCTTGCTGCCCATCAACATGTATTTCATAGTTCTAAATTATTTATGCAATAGCTTTAAACGGGGTCTTTGTTTGCTTAGGCGGCGAGCTTATTTAAATTTTAGGGGGAGGAGAAGATAAAGAAAATAATATACAAAATAACAGAGAGCCGTCACCATCAACCCCGCTTTCTAAAAATAATGCTTCGGAAGAAAAGAAGAAGTTGACAAGAAAGAGACAACGAAATCCCAAGGCATCAAAAAGGCATGGAAGAAAAATAAAAATAAATGTTTAAAAAATTCAGGTATGGCTTACACTACTGAGAAAGGAAAATTAGTTAATGCTAAACAATTAAAACCTGGTTGTGGAGACAAATGTCGGTTGAAGTGTACACTGAAGATTAATGAGCAGCAAAGATTAGTAATATTCAATAATTTTTGGATATTAGGTGATTTGAATGGACAGCGAGATTTTGTCAAAAATGCTATGAAAGAAGTAAAGCTGAAATATTCGCTACATAATGCTCAGAGTAAATTAAAGATCTATTAATGCGGCTTATCATTTAACAGTAGATGGTATAATTATAAGGGTATGTAAAAAGTTCTTTATGCACACTTTGGATATTGGGCACTCATTTATAACGACGTTATGTAAGAAAACAACATCATCGGGTATAGTTTTAGAAGATTTTAGAGGTAAGCATGACAAGAAAGGTAAACTACTCGTATTACCTGACTTTGTTAAGGATGGAGTACGTGAACACATAAACTCATATCCTACTAAGGAATCACACTACTGTCGAGCATCATCAATTAAACAATATTTTGATGGTGATTTAAATCTATGTATGATGTACAGGCAATACAAAGAGTGATGTAATAAAGAAGGTAAGCCTGAAGCTAAACAAGGAACGTATGAAAACATTTTTAGAACTGAATTTAATATAGCTTTCCATGTACCAAAGAAGGATCAGTGCTCTCTTTGCTGTTCTTACAATAATGCAACAACAGAACAGAAACAAGAAATGGAAAAGAGTTATAAAGATCATCTTACAGAAAAAGAGCTTTGCAGAGAAGAAAAGAGGATAGATATAGAAACATGCGAAAATGACAAACAAAAAGATTATTTGTTGTTATGACATGCAAGCGGTTCTTCAAACTCCAGCGGGTAATGACTCGATATTTTTTACTTGGACACTTATCAACCTTACAGTACAATGAAATGTTTCAATGTTCGGCATAAAATGCGGGGCAAGCCTAACGAAACCTTAGTTTTGACAAATAAATATCGCACTCGTCCTGAAATATCAAATCTTAAAAAGAAAGAATTGATTTCATTATGTGATGGTAAAGTAATTCCAAACGTTTATTGGGATTATTATAAAACATTGCCAGCTTCCTCAGATAAAGCTGACAATGACTAATTGTTCCCTTTTTTTATATTTTCTTACTTATAAATAAAAAAATGTTATAAAACTATAAAAGTGTTTTATTGATTATTCTCTAAAAATGCAATTATTTGCTAAGGTTCTCTAAATTTTTAAGTCATTACTTAAGAAAAATACATAGTCTTTTAATTCAGTACTGGTACATTCAAAAATAATCCCTTGTCAGAGGTATATTTGCAGTCAATAAATTAATTCAGTGGTGGAACATTTCAAATATTTACTTATACTTAAAAAACAAATAATAAAAAATGATTGAATTTAATAGAAATCATAAATATAAGGTTTAACCAAAATATAACAACATTAAAAACAATATTTTTTTCTCTAAGCACTTGCTAAATGGAAAAATAAGTATTTCTAATTTTTAATTGCTCAATATCTCACATTTACTCATTTTGAAATGTTCCACTACTGTTTTCGACCGACGATATATATATATATATATATATATATATATATATATATATATATATATATATGTTTGATCTACTCGTATAACAGAAAAAAATCCAAGCGGTCGGATTCGACCGCGCACACCCACAGCACTATAAACTATTAAAACTTATATTTAGAGACTACTTTTCTGCAAAGAAGTTTAGCATTATAGAATCAATATGAAATTTTCTATCCTCTGTTGTAATAAAAAGTCAAGTTATCCTATGGATATTTATTTATAATCTACATTCATTTCGTACGACATTTTTGTGTATCGTCGAAAAGTAGTCTCTAAATATAAGTTTTAATGGTTTTGAGTGCTGCGGGTGGGTGCGGTCGCATGCGACCGCTCGGGATTTGCCGGGCGCATGCGACTGCATGGGGTTTTTATTGTGATTGAGGGGTTAAAAGGTGGGTATATTACGTTAATTCACGTAACAGTTTTACACAAACATAGCGGTCAAACTTACAACACTCTTCTTTTTCGTCGCGTGTAAAATGTAAAGTGTTTGATGGTCATCTTAAACCTAAATAATGCCACCTCGATAGATCTTACCCAGGCAAATCCGGAGCAGGTCGCTAGTTACCGTTACAGCCTATTGAAGTCCACTGCTTAACATAGACCTCCTCCATATATTGCCTCATAGAGAGGATATTTGCCATAGTTGTCATACTTGGCAAGAGGGTTGGCAAACACGGTTTTTTATTTTTAGTCGTTATAAACAAGGCACTGCTGCCCATTTGCTGATTTTTTGAACAAATCGAGTAGAAAAAGCATAATCACGCAGGCAGGCAGTTATTATGCATTATTCATACTGAAAGGATTCTTTTACTTATCAGTGGACTTGGTTTGTTAAGGTGACTCTAGTCGACATTATTTCCATAGAAATTTCGGAGGGGTTTTACTCCGCTGTTTGACAGTGTACATCCAAAGTTAAACATGATATCGTTTTGTCTCATTATTAATTTTGTCTGTACCGAAACAGAATAGTAAAATAAAAAGTCAGTAAAAAGTTACGAGCTACCAAAGATTCGTTTTTATTGCCAATTTTAACACAACTTTGGGCGTAAATTAGTAATAAAAGCAGTGTAAAATTTCCAAAACAAAGTCGGTACCGACACAGCTCAATTATCGAAGAATTCAATAAATTTTATTGGTAATTGATTCATGCAGTGGTTTTTTCGTAAAACCCCTCTTTCCAAAGGCCTTTTCGTATTTTTTTACGCGCGCGTGTTTATGTGAATTATCGTGCATCTCACTGAATAATGTTTCCCCCCGGTGCGATGCGGGAGGACGACACTTACACACACATGCATGCGCGGTGACGCGCGCTTATTCTAGTTTTATTTTATTATAATATAGACTCAGTCAGCTGCGGCCTGTGACGTTCGTATGACTATAGCTATACCTGCGCTCTAAATTACTACGCTACATTGACCCCTGCTTGTACTTTGGATTAAATCAAATTGATATAAGCACAGACAAAAATAGAGGAATATATAAATAAAATTTTGAAAAAAAAAACGATTTCAAAATTTTATTAATGTTCCGCTAATTTTATCTGTACTTACCTATGTCAATTTGATTTACATTCGATTATAATTATATTCTCAGACGTGCAGGTTTCCTCAATATGTTTTCCTTCACCGCCGAGCACGTGGTAAATCAGCACAATTGCAATTAACAATTTCATTGGTACCGGCGGGGATCAAACTCGGGTCTGCATGTCTGAGAAATTAAAAAATATATATTTCGAAGAAATGTGAAGTTCGTCAACACGCATTGAGGCAGCGTGGCGGACATTTCCTTGCCTTAAAACCCTCTCAGAAATTAGAGGAGGCCTGTGCCCAGCAGTGGGACGTATATAGGCTGTAACTTTACTTTTTTTTTACTTTTGTAAATATGTTATTTTACCGACGAAAATTTTAAAGAAAAATAAAAAATAAGCAACCGACAACCTCCTAGGTCCCTAGGTGACTTGCGAGATGTCAGTGTAACAAAACAAAACGGCCCAGAAAAACAGACTTTCCAACTGATAGATAAATCAGCACGCAACAATTTCATTGGTGCCAGTGGGGCTCGAACCCGGGTTGCTCCCGTACTGTGATACCTATAACGAGCGCTAACCATGTGAGCTACCACGGCTCTTAACGACATCGTTCCGTTCGTGTACAGCGCTGAAGATAGCAGAGTAAAAATGTGTTTTGTGTTTGAAATTTTACATATAATAATTTACCTCGAAATTCACTATACGCGATTATCGTTCATTGATTATATTATGTTGTTTAAAAAGTATTCCTATCAGCTTTGTGTTAAATGGATGCTAAATATAAAAGAATGCTTCAATATTGATAGCAATTTATAAACGAAATATCTGTTGAGATGTGTCTAGAAATTATTAATACTTATTTTTATTTATTTATTAAAATAATAAATAAATAAAAATAAGTATACATTTATCTATATTGAGTACTAGTTTTTCCCCGCGATCTCGCCCGCGTGGAATATGGATTTCATGGGTTTTAATTTTTTTGCGCGGAACCCTAATTCTTTTTCTAAAAGAAAAGTAGTTCAAGTTATTCCTTATATCATCAGCTATCTGCCAGTGAAAGTCCCGTCAAAATAGATCCAGCTGTTTCGGAGATTAGCTGGAACAAACAGGCAGACAGACAGACCGACAGACAGACAAAAATAGTACTTGCATATGCATTTAATAAAAAGCTGTTATTTTAACATTACAAACAGACACTTCAATTTTATTTATTTGTAGATATAGATATAAGATATTATTCATATTGGTGTCATTTTAAAGGGAATATCATTTACTATTATAATAATAAAATAATTGTCTCCAGTAAATATTATACTTTTCTTGTAAAACTCGAAATAAGTAACAAATAAATACGATTTATTTTTATATTCCCATATGCTTTATTTTCATCCTTTATTTTTTATTTGACCAATTTTCTTTTAACAAAATTAAATTCTGAATTTGTTGAGCTTTTTTGAGAATATTTTTATTTGAATGTTAGGTTTAGTTTTACGGTAGTAATCGTTTTTGTTGTGACAGTCTCGCACGGTCGTAAAAAAAAGTTACTGCGCGGACAGGTGGGACGAGAATCACTTGCGCGGCGTGCACGGTGGATAGGTAGTCTACCTACTGTTATTACCTAGATACCCACAACCTATACAACAAAATTTGGTAAACTGTCGCTGCGTCGTGGAAACTAAAATCTAAACTGCCTACCTACCTGCCTAAGTACGTCGGTACTAAGGAAACAGTCTTGACGGGTCACTTGTCTTGATAAAAACATGTGTTTACATCTAGTGATATTGTGTGTATATAAAACAAAGTAAGAAGACAGGTAAGTATTTTTGAAGACAATTTATAGGTAGGCAGAACTAATTACAATTATTATCTAAATATTATAAATGCGAAAGTTTGGATGGATAGATGTATGTTACTCAATCACAGCTGAAGGGATCTGGATGATATTTAGCTCAAAGATAGGTTATACCTGGTCTGGAATAACACATTTGATACCGTTTATTCAGGTATTTCGTTCCTGTGGGATAATTTTCGAGTTCACGCGTTTGAAGCCGCTGGCAACAGCTAGTACGGATATAAACTGCGATGACTGTTCCAGTTCATGCTTCGGCGTCGTG